GGTGCTGGTGACCGGGACGTGCCCCGCGATGTGCCCGCTGAGCCGGGCCGGGCGCTTTGGGGCAGCCGCGGAGCACCGGGTTGGTCTCTCCAGGTTTGTTCATGAACCAGTCGCAGCTACCGTGGTTGCTTCCCTGCTATTCTCCCTAGTTGGTTGTGGTTTTGTGGGTCCCCTTAAGATAAGTAGGTTATTACAACAAAGAACAAAACTGTTACTACTCAAAACTATAGTGACCAGCGTATCTAACCCATCCCCAGCAGGTGGTCCTGCAGCTTTCCCACAGTGAGTAACTGTTGTGGTGTTGGCCCTGATCATGTAGAAAAGTTCAGTCTTTTTTGAGTGAACTGCACTTAGTTAAAAAGTTGTGGTGTCGTTATGCCCAGGGCCGAGCTGCCACCAGCCCTGGCTGCTTTCCTCTGAGCTGCACTTAGTCTGGCTATTGAAGATTGAATCAGCTGTTGTGGATCCAGTGTTTCTGAAGCATAGAGTTTACTGCACTGTGAATGTGGAAACCCTCTCAAGAGAAGATACTGCCTCAAATTTTCTCTTTTCTTTTTTTTTTTCCCCCTCAGTCTAAAAATTTCTAATAGAAATATGATTAACTGCTCCTGTTATAACTTGTTTGATTCCACATTCTTCCAGTGGCCTCTTCTGCCCTGTCTGCTGGTGTCCCAGGGACTTTCTCGGTGCTCTCCGGTCTCCGCTGACCCTGGCAGCATGAGATGAAACAGAGCAGCCTGGCACAAATCTGTGACAACCCCATCCCAAGAATTTAACCAGCACCTGGTGGGCTGCAGCAGAAGCAGCTGTCTGCTCTCCCCTGAATTTCCAGTGGCCAAAGGGCACCTAGTGTGGAGGACTGTTGATACTCCTTTTAATGTTAAAAAGGTATTAGCGGGCAATTGTGGGGTTTCTCTGTTGGCATTAGTCCTCAGAGACTTCCAAAAATGTTCAGGAATCATATAAAGCACTCAGAAGAGGCAGTGGTGGTTTGTCTATTAGAATTAGTGCTTTGAAATAAATTCCTAGCCAATTATTCTGGAATTAAATTAAATCTGAATGTCATTGCAAACCCATATTATGCAGGTAAAGTTGACTTCTACCTGTGTACTTGACCATTCTTACAGAGCTGTGCTGTGTGTTTGTCTTAGCAGAGATGGGACCAAAGAGCAGCTGTTAATGTTTTACATTTTCAACTTTTTTATAGGCACTTCTTTCTGGGCTTGTCTGGACTAAGCCACTGTCATCTTTCAAAGACTCAGCACCTTGGCTGTATTTTCTGCAGGTCTCATCTGGTATCTGCTGATGCAAAGGTATTTGTCACGAATAAGGTTTTGTGATACTGCTTTGGGTTAACATCAATTTAGGATTCATTAATATTTTTGAGATAGATCACGAGATGAGCAGTTAATCATCAGCTAATTTAACAGAATGAATCAATGGAATTTGTTACAATAAGGAAAGCGACTTAAAGGTTTGAAAATGGCAAGGGTCACCTGAAACTTGTGGCAGGGTTAAACACGGGTGTGGTTTAAATCAAATCACATGTACAGACAGGCAGACAAACGAACAATTCTAGATCAAATTACACACAGAGAGACAGGGAACACACACAAAGTTAACCTATGATTAGAATTTCCCTTGTTGTGAGTTTCCTGAGTTACACATTTATGTGCAGGCATTCATCAACGGACGGTCAGTGCACCTCACAGAATCGGTCAGGCCTTTGAATCCTTGTGAAATTGTCAGCAATCAATCTTTCAGTCCTCATGAAATCCCCCCTGAGAGGAGTCCCAGGAGATCCTCGGTCCCAGAGCCCGCTGCGGAGAGCTCAGAGGGTCTCGGATTTGGATCGCAGTTTATGGGATCTCGAGGTGATCTGCTTTGGTCGGTATTCTCCATTCTGGGCACAATTGTTTCTGAGTCATTCCAGTGGACAATTGGGACAGCAGCTGGCCCAGGTATGGCCAGGGAGTGGCTGGTCACCGCACCTCCCAGCTACTTGGAAGCGAGATAACAGCACTTGTGACTGATACCAGCACAGTGGGTATTTCCCCAAAGCTTACAGGGCTTAGCACCAAGGATCATGCAGGCAGCAGATGACCCAGGTGTGGCCAGAAAGTGACTGATGCCCAACTTGTAACCAAGAAAACAGCACTGGCTACCGAGATAACCGCACAATGGGGCTCATCCTGAGATCTCAGAGCGGCCCTGGAGCGGCTGCAGTACGCAAACACGAGGGGTGAGTACACAACTACACACCCTGATCATTGTAGCCCTTGCGTCTGGAGGAGAATCATAGAATCATAGAATGGCCGAGGCTGGAAGGGACCTTAGAGATCATTTAATCCAACCTCCCTGTCATGGGCAGGGACGCCTCTCAACTAGAACAGGCAACACATGGGGACCGAGCGGGGATGGAACCCCCGACCTTGGTGTTATCAGCACCACGCTCAACTGACTGAGCTAACCAGCCCCAATGTTTAGAGCTCAGAGGAGCAATTTAAGTTCTCCATTGTCAAAGAGGGCTTGAAATTGTTTTGACTAAGCCCAACCACTACTGCTGTCTAAAAACCAACCCTTAACATGAAGAATCACTGAATAATTTTTCTCTTTAAATAGCTACGAAGGTTACTCTGCTTCCTTGCAATTAGCTGAGAACTTCAAGTGGTTCTGAACTAAATCTAACCCTCTGTGCCCAGATATTGTGGATTGAAAGTGTCACTCGGGCTCTGAGCAGGAAGTTAGAAGCACAGCACAAGCTGTTCCTCTCTACCTGTGGCTGAGCAAACATCGAGATGGTTTCACTGATACTCTTTGACTTTTTTAGCATTTCATACTCAAAGTTTAAGTAGGAGTGATTTTCCCAGTGGAAAGTCCAAAGAGTGGACAGTGACTCTGTATTCTTGCAAGTCTGTAGTGACAGCAGCAAACGTCCAGGCGTTTTAAGATCTGGTCAGCAGGTTCTGGCTGCCAGCCTCTAGGTCGTTGTGTCCTCTGGGACATTCCTCGGGGATTTCTGTGCAGGTTTTGTCCTGTTCTGCATTTCTCACCCACTTAGGGCCCCAGCTCGCCGCTGTGTGTGGCTCTGCCCAGAGGGGGACGGGTGTGAGTGGAAGGGCCGTCAGCCAGCCCTTAGGGCTCTATTTACTTACATTGTGCTTGAAACTGTAGTTTCACCCTAACTTGGTAACAATGGATAAATGGAACTCAAGATTTTATCTTCTAAACTTCCTACCTGGGGTATATTTGTTTTCAACACTATCTGTTCATGACAGCCAGAGGGACTCTGTACTCATTTAACTTGTAGCCAAAAGCATACGCAATGGAACAAGAGGTGAATCCTGCTCTAAACTGCTGTGAAACAAAATTTCATAAGAATTCAAAATTAATGATTTCCTGTAGAAAAAAAGTCTTTCCATTAATCCAAACTATCTCAGCACAGCTCCTGCCATGTCTGCAATTTTCTTCTTGCCCAGTTTGCAAGAACGTCTGCACATTAACTGTCCATTTTTCTAAAAAACCCAAATTTTAATATAAAACAGCAACTAAAGAGACCCACAATACACAAATCAGTTTTACTTCCATAAAAATGATTCCTCCACAAACAAGACCTTTTAATGGGGATAATGCAAAGCTGTGCAATATTTTAATGTAATCATGTACTACTCAGACCGCATGTTTGTTAAACCACAACATACTATTTTTCAGGTGTTTGGTGTTATCTAGGGGTTTTTCCCCATGTCTTCTGTTTTAAGAGTCAGCTACCCAGGTCCGGGATTTTCTGAAGTTGTAGGACTTGCCAGGATGCAGGTACCATGTGGGGACGAGGTGCTACGTCAGGGCTAAGGAGCAGAGGCCAGCGCAGGGCACTGCCAGCCCCTGGTGACCCACTCTGCTGCTGGGAGGGAATGAAGAAAGGCAGCACAGGGACTTCGGCACGTGAAGGGCAGAAGGGGTTGCTTTATAACCAACAAGAAAGGTTTTCAGAGCCTACACAGATTAACACGGTGCTACCCAATTTTGCCTGGGATTCATGTTCTATTCCACTGGTTCTGGGCAAAGTTGACATTTACTATTTACGTCTCTCTCAAAACTACAGAAGCTCAAAATCCACACACTTGACACGTTCCGGGAAACCCTGTAAGAAACCTGCAGTTTTATCATGCTCTGCAGTGGCAAAGATGTGCACATCAACAACATTTGTATTTCACTTTTAAATGCTGTTTTTAATTATCCTTACAGCAAGCTACCTCTGTGTGGCAGCTATACGGCTCTAGCCAAACACAGACATTTAAACGGAGTTACTGACAGTACAGGGTTGTATTTCAGCTTTTGGATCAGATTTCATCTTTTTGATCAAACCATTCCAGTTCTGCAGCTTACAGCAGCAGGATATAAAAATTGCTATTAAGGTTCTATTAAGAGAAAAAAACCAAGATATTGGTATTAAATACTTCTTATAATAAACAAAAGTACTCTCATATTACATAAAGACATGTCCTAAGAAAGAACTGTTTTTTAATTTTGGTGTAGTTTCTTCTTAAAACCATTTCTTAAAAATATCCACCAGTGCATGTGCTGCCCTTGAAGGAGAAGGCAGCATTTCACAAAACAAGTCCATACAATTATTTACATTTGTTCACATCTTAGATTGTTCCACTTTCAGTGCTGGATCCGTTAACTGGAGGCTCAATGATCAATCTGGGCTCTATCAGCGCATCCCAACTTTCGGTTATCTGAAAACAAAACACAGAGAGCACTCAGCAGGTACAAGCAGATATAATTTCTCCTACTTTATGCTCTGTCTAGACTCAGACAACCGCACTGCTGAACAAAGATCACAGATCCTTCCTGCGACTCATCACTCTTGATGAACCTCAACCTGCCAGATGTCCTGGGTAAGGAAAGATGCAGGTAAGAAGAACAGCGTGTGAAATGAATAACCTCGTAAGAACTGGTACTCTCTCCAGACACAACCGTGTTTACTGTATTAGCCAAAACAAGTTACACAGGTAGATGAGTGGTTTTGAATCTAGTTAACTGAAGGACATGCCAGAAGTGATTCTTATCTTGTAATTATGCAGATTCTTGCTAGAAAGGAACAATTACATCTGCTTCCATGTATTTCAATCTCACTGAGACTGATGAATGGGGTCACAAAGCAGGACACATCAGCTATGCACAGCTTCTAACAGCTCCAGAACTGGACACCCACGTACCTTTGTGTCCTGAGAAACAGCGTACTCGATCAGTTCTGCTCCATCTGCAGACTGGTAAACCAGATCGAACTTCCCTGGCTCTTTAGCAGCTTAAAAACAAACAACTCCATTAGCTATAAGCAAAAAGGATTAAATGTTTCCCACATTTAGATAGCTAATCAAAATCAGTTTGGCTTGGGGGTTTTTGTTTGTTTTTTTTGAGTTGGATGTTTGGGTTCATAACTGTAACAAAAAATCTGAGGTAGAACTGACCACCACACACTAAAATAAAGGCAAATGTCTAATATAACTGTATGCATGAAAAAGTTAATCAACAATATGCTGCCTAAATTTAAGAATGCTCCTATGATGAGGGTTCATTACTGCTGGCTTAAATGGCAACTGCAGCGTACACATTCACCATCAGAGACATTGACAGCGCGATGTCCCTTTGTCGTTGCCGCTTCCACACCCACTGAAGACAGTGGCTTCACTGATGTCGCTAAGAAGGAATTACTCCGCAATTCCGTAAGATAATTTGAATTTTTTCAGGATGAAACCACCATAGAGATTATTATAGAGATACCACCATAGAGATAATTACCAACTACTTACACTGAGTGGACAAATGTCACTTTGTAAATACCTGTGAGCAGCTTCCATACAACTAGCAAGTGCTGGAACTTCTCCATTTACATACACTTGGGGGAGAAGGAGGGAATAGGGGAGGGGTGTGTCGATGAGGATCCTGAGGAAATTGGAAACACTCCAGAAACATGAAGCACGCCTCGGACCAGCTGTTTTCCAAGTGATGCACATGACAAGAAGCATTTGGTGGCCCAGGGTACGTACCTTGTCCCGCTGAGGAAGAAAGGATCTCAAGCTCGATCTGTTTTTTATCAGCGTTCCAACCGATTATTTTTCCTTCCTTCATAAAGCAACGAGAAGAGAATGAGACAAGATGTACTTCAGCACTGGGTAACTGTTTACAACCACTGCAGTACTCGATCACAGTCAGAGGAAGCAGATCTGTCTGACAAATTTTTCTGTCTCTATGTAACTGCAAAGTACCAAAGCTCAGCAATCTGCAGTTACTGGCATCAATAAACCAAAGTCACTCATTGTCATCATCTTTGTTATTTCAATCAGTACTTATCCAGAAACCAACTTATCTCAAGTAGCTACAACATTTTACTTGCACCAGTTTCAAGTATTTGCCTTAACTTCAAACAGCAACAATTCAAATGCAGCTGTATTTTTGTACTTCAAAGTCTGCATTTTTTTGTCATCTCTAAAATATTAATGATCGTTCATAATGCTTGCATCTTTCTTAAATAACTGCTACACCTTTGATAATTAGTTTTGGATGCTAGAGTTCTCATTTTTACTGCTGCATGAGGATTAGCCCGCAGAGTCAAACTGGATGAGAGGAAAAACTGCACAACCTCAAAATATTTAGGCCTTACCTCACCTATAATAGTTTTGTGAGTGAATTATGGGAGGAAAGAAAAACAGTACCTTGTAGTCTGAAACTTCAGGACTGTAATTTTCCGTTAGTTCCAAGCGCTGTTGAAAGAAATACAAATAAAAAATTACAACCTTTCCCAATCCTTGATGACGCCACCTATACTCGATAGTTTCTTCAGCAAGAGGCAAGTGCAAGAACCAAGTCTCCCGCTCCTGGATCCTGACGTCTTCCCGGACTCGCTGCTCTAGAGGTTCACATTCAGGTCAGGCTGTGAGAGGAGATCAGTGACATGGATCCCAGCCTCCTCAACTGCAGTGATTTCACTTTCATTAACTTTTTTATTTTGCAGTGACGTGTAATTATTATTGCAATTATTTACAATAATATTGTAGAAACACTAGAGAAATAACTTTTAAAATCTATCTATAAAGCATCTATTTTTAATGCTGACTGTTCTTACATGTGGAAAGAGAGGGGTAATATGCTTCTGTCATTCTTATTTAAACATAAACTTTGCCCGTGGTAGAGTGACCCCGTGAACGTGCAGCCAGAAAATTCTATTGTTTCTGAATTGACTTGTGTGCTGGCCAAGAGTCTTGCACAAATGTACGTGGAAATAGGCAGTGGAGGCAACATTTCTTTGTTTGTGTTATACAAATACAGTAAGTCTACAGAAATGCATTTAACTTATGCACATGCTCCAAACCTTAATAAAAATCAGACTTGACAACAAAAGATTTTTTTTTAGAGCCAACAACACAAACTGTAACAGTTCCGTTGTGTGGGAAGCTGTTGGGTTAAACAGGAAGAGAGAAGTGAACACGTTCAGAGATCCCTAAAATATCAGGCACGTGCTGAACGATTTGCTTAGTTTAAATTGAAAGTTTTATAAAAGAGCAAATAAGTAGGATGAAAACTACTTCCTAACGCTTCTATTTCTAAGATAATGGTCCCACAACAAAGTAAAATTTAAGTTCTTCAGTGTAAGCTTTTCATTGTCAGGACTATGCTCTCTGTAGCGTGTCCTGCAAAACTTAGAGCGGCCCAAATTCGACCATTTTAGCCCACTGTCAATCAGTACTTCAGAAGTTCTTTACCTTAAAGGCAATTCTTTCTCCCACTTGTGGTGGAGCAGCCAGAAGAGGTAACATGCTATAGTCTCGCTTGGGGACCTCCACAGGATTCTGTGAAACAAACAGTAAACCCGTTTAATTACTGTATTAATAAAAACAGAAGACAATGTTTATGCTGCATGGATTGTAAAAGTTCTGAAAAGGGTAAAGTATCTGAGCGCATTTTTTTGGAGATATATAATCCAGTCACTTAAATATTGTTTTATAAACACTTCCTTGGGCTGCTACGGAGGTACAGGAAATACCATGTTTACTAAGTTGAGATAACCTTTATCCTACTAATCTTCTTCTGCTTTTACAAATTACTCTCACCCTTTACGCTTTTTATTTCGTTAAAGCTGCAAGAGAAAGGTGGCCTATGGCTGTGTAAGTCACTCACCTGGACAAGAACAGAAGTGTTTGTCACAGCTTCATTTAACGGCCTCTGTTTCGGGCCTTCACTGCTGTAGTTATAGAAGAAGCCCGGGTTTGCTCCTCTCCCACGGCCTTGGCCCCTCATCATCCCACGAAACCCACGGCCCCTAGGTCCTCTCCAGAAGTTATCCTCTCCTGTTCCACGCCCCCTTCCACGACCTGAGCTGGCAAGTGGTCCTTGAATACTGGTTGGCAACTGTTTAGTACCGTTCCTTACTACGGAATTACTCAGTCCAGCATTTGCTGTGGGTTTTTTAATAACAAGCGTTTCTGAATCTGAGCTGTCGGACTCTGAAGAGGAGGTCGTTGCTTTGGGAGCCTTGGTGGCACTGGCTTTTACAGCTGCCGCATTGTTTGGCAGTGACTTTTCCTTTGCACTGTCTCGCGCTGTTGCCGCTTCTTCATCCTCTGTACTCGAGTCAGAATCTGAAGTAGAGGACTGGGATTTTTTAGCATTTTTACTAATCGCAGTCTTAGTGGAATTTTCAGTGTGAGATTTTACAGTCATTTTATCAGAAACACTAGGTTTTGCATCAGAATTTGCAGCAGCTTGGGATTTGTCTTTGAGAAGTGCTGCCTCTACAGGTTTACGAGAAGATTTATTTTGCTTTACATTTAATTCACTGCTGTCACTGTCAGATGACGTGCTGGAGGAATCTGAAGATCTCACACTCTTTTTTCTTAACCGTGTTGTGATTTTTTTTGTGTTATCTTTACCAGAATTTAGAGAAGAGCTCTTACTTGCCTGTTCTAAAGACATCTTTGCTGCAGTGGCTTTTGTCTGCTTTTCATCCTTCTTTTTTGCTGCCAACTGTTTCTCTCTCTCTGTTTTTTTAAGCTTTTTAGATTGGTCAGTAGGACTCTCTTCCTTACCTTCTGTGAGGCTATTTCTTCTGCTAACTTCTTTTCTTTTTCTTTTCTTGTAACTTTTCTGAGAGTCCCAAACATCTACAGAGGATTCTTCCCTACAAGAGGAATACTCAGCATTCTGTTTATTCTTTTTCTTTTCCCTTTTATGACCGTCTTCTTCATTAGAGAATCCTTCCTTCTGCTTTCGTCTATGCCTTTTTTTGCCTTCTTTTGGTGCGTAAGTGAAGCCATCATGTATCTCTTCATAATCATCTGCAGCGATCTCTTCCAATTTTACTCTGCCAAAAAAAAAACCCACAACAAAAAAGCGCCACTGTTAAGCATCATTAGTACCTTTTCTCTATGGTGAGCCGGGGGGGAGTCAAAGGCCGGTACGGGGCGTCAGGGCAGGTGACGGGAGCAGCGGGACAGAGCGGTGAGGGCTCCCCTCAGCCTTCTCCTCTTCAGATTAAACCACCTCAGCCGCTCCTCATAAGATTTATTCTGGAAACCCTTCCCCAGCTTCGCCGTCCTTCTCCGGGCCCTCTCGTCGGTGCCTTTCCCACACTGTGGCGCCCAGGATGGAACACGGTGCTCACGGTGTGGCCTCCCCAGCGCCGAGGCCGGGG